CAGAGTTCTACGTTAAAACTCAGGCAGGCAGGCAGGTAGGCAGTATCTGATGCTAATGTGAATAGATTATCAAATATTCTTAGACGGTATTGCTTTATAATATGACTTTCATTGTCTCTCGTATTCAATGATTTATTTACCTTCCCCTCCTGAATTATGTACAGTGACGACAAACATACACAAACTGCATTCTGAAATTACGGATAAGATTTCTGGCTTAGATGGATGAACAAAGCAAGAACTACAGTTTTAGCAGAATAAAATGGTACCATCATCGGTTATTTCGTTGCCTTCTCGTCAGCTCAGTTGCTTACAGGGCAAAGACATTATTAAATATATCTACAAAAACAATTTTAACATACTTGCACACAGTTCATTTTAAACAAAAATCAATCGATCAATATACGCATACACTAATAATATATACATATATATATATGCAATATTGAACACAATTCCGAGCAATAATAATCATACAAAATGAAAACTTTTCAGTATCTTGCATTAGGATGAAAAATATCCAGTTACCAGGGCAAAGAAAGACTGATAACCCCTTCTTTCTGGACGCATAAATCAGGTTTCAGGCGCTTGATGGAAATGGCTTCGGCAAACTTAAGGAGAATTGAGCTCTTTTGCCTATTGATAATTTTGAACGACTTTTCGATGTCCACCTGATGACCCATGTCGAAGAGATGCCTGGTGATGGCACTGTTTACACAAAGCATTTGTTCCCTTTAGACGTACGCTTTTTGGTACATGTTCAGAAAATCAGGGATATGCCATTCTTTCTGTTCTTCCAATGTAACCGCTCCCACAGATTCACGTAAATTTGTATATACAGTTGGAGTTAACATGAGAAGAATATCTATCGATTTTTGATTGCATCAAAGAGCAAGCTGTTCGATAGACGGGAACAAGCTTAGCTGCAGGATAGGGTATGGCTAGTGATGTGCTCAGCCTTCTGTTGATCATCACTGCGATGTTTTCACCGTTATAATCAAGCTGAAAGTAGATTGGCTTTTTTCCTACTGTGATTTGTTTTACATTTGTGACTTCAGATCTTCCATACTTGTTGATGAACCTTTTAGGGTACCCATTACTCTTCAATATCTTTTCAAGAGACTCAAATTCTTCCTCTAATTTCTCTATAGAGCATATTCTCCTCGCTCTACAGTACTGGATATTTTTCATCTGAAAAGTTTTCATTGTGTATGATTATTATTGTTCGGAATAGTGTTTCATATTGCATATATATATGTATATATTATTAGTGTATGCATAAACTGATCGATTGATTTTTGTTTAAAACGAACTCTGCTCAAGTATGTTAAAATTGTTTTTGTAGATACATTTAATAATGTCTTTTCCCTGCAAGCAACTGAGCTGACGAGAAGGCAACGAAATAACCGATGATGGTACCATTTTATTCTGCTAAAACTGTAGTTCTTGTTTTGTTCAAATTCATTAAGGGGAATAAATGCATGAAATCAGATGGATGTTTCTGATGTGGTTGTGTTCTCTGAGCTGGATAGTTTTAATTGTGAAGCTTCCTTGGTTACTGTAAACTATCTAATGAAGACCTTGACAAATCTGTGTGAACCAATCATATACGTGCGAAGTAGAAGTGCGTAATTTGAAAAAGAACGATTACATAGAAGTAATGCAATGTTCTTGTAAACATCTCAAGAAAATCTCCTAATTTCTCATAGGACTCCGCATAGTTACTTAGGTTAAACCAATTCCTGTACATAAAATCATTGAGATAACTGTAAATAATCCGGTTTCGTGAACCATTCATCGCTTCGATTGTCTTTTTTAGGTGATTGCAGAAACTTTCGATGAAATTTGTGTGAGTTCCATAGGAAAGATTTAACGACATCATCCGTAGGATTGATTACGTTGTGAATATAGCCCCAGAGTGACAGTTGGCCACACGTTTTCTGCCTTCCAATGAGCTTATTGTCTAATGCAGATTTGGATGAAATTTACTACGTAATTCGTGTTCACGCATCCATAATTCCACCTACATACTACAGACTCATTTGACTGATAGCTCAAGGTCATTAATCCGTTCATTAGGTAGTTTCGTTTTGAGCTGGTTTAGTTTAAAGTCACCGCTTTCTTATCCTGCACAGGAAACACTACATTATACCTTACAGATTCAGATTCGGATTTATTTGTTGAGGATAGAAGGCTCGGAACCTATGTTAATCCTTTTCTAGTAAGTTTCTCTGGTTGTCCAAACCCTTCTTGAATGGATCAGTTGAGGTTGCAGACACCACTTCTTCTGAAAGTCGGTTCCAAGAGTGTATGACTCGATGTGAGAACCAGTACTCAACAGCAATATGAATTCTTCTTGGCTTTTGAACTCTCCTGCTATGTCCTCATCCCGCAAAAATAAACACCACTGCTACTGAAACTTCAAGCCTCTAGCTTGGAGCCCTTTGTTCCAATTGGAACGTAAAGGAATAAAAAATGAAGTCCTAAAGACCCCAATTAGGAAGTCTACATCTGCCTCAAACCAACTGTGAAAGACTCAACAGACTGATGACAGGTCTTTCTGGTTTGAATACTCCTCTAATTTTTCCAACCTAATCGCATGTCAACTAACATTGCTCGTCGAGGAGCACGATGATTCACCCATCCATAGCAAGTATCCTAGCCATCTCATTGATTCACTTAGCCCCCCCCCCTCACCCCCACTTACATAGCACTCTTCGTCTAACTTCAGTATTACTCAAAATAATAATACTATTATTATAATATTATTATTCCCTTACGCTCCGAGTGGAACACAGGGCTTCAACAACACATCTCCGCTTTGTTCTGTTTTCTGTAGCCCTCTTCAGCTGGATCCAAGATTGATCAAACTTTCTCATCTCTTCCTTGCACGATAAACTCCATGTCACCCTAGGACGACCGACTTGTCACTTCCCGTTTGGATTCCACTCGAGGGCCTGGCGTGCGATATCATTCGGCGGCCTCCTCAATGTACGTTCGATCCATCTCCACTTTCTCCTACATATTTGAGTAGCTTGAAAATCCCCATTGAGTCATATGAAAAAGAGAAGATGTTCAGCGAAGAGACTCTTTTCAGCGAATTCATTCACATAGCTGTGCAATCGCATTTATATATGTGATTATTTGTGTGCATGTGTGTACCTGAGGTTTGTCAAGTTTAGATAATTGATCAGGTAATACAAGAATGATGTAATATAGAAACAAGGTTAATTATACATCAACTAAAGTAAGATTGAGTTAGTAACATAAATGACTAGAAATTGAGCGTCGTTCAAGTCAGTAACAGTGGTAGTGAGGTGTAGAAATTGAATCGGGTGGGGTTAGAGAACAAGAAGGTTGAAAATGTAAAATGTTACAATTGAGAAGGCAAAATAATACTAATGAAGAGACAGAAGAAAAGATTAGGTAGAATTTATTTGTCGGCTAATAAGATAGATTATGTCCATTGCAAGTGTAGTGATTAAACGAACTTCTTCTGTATGCAGAGTTCAGGACTTGGCAAGTGAGTCGCCATTGCTTCTGCAGTTTGAAGAATTCTGATTCGTACACCTTTAGGAAGACTACTTCTTACTCTGTAGACGACTTTGAAGTTTGTTTGGGGTGTAGCTTGGTGTTCGGATTCTATCAGATGTTCTAAGATGGAGCTGGGGGGGCATCGATTTTTTCCTTTGTAAAACCATGCTGATAGGTGTTCGGTGATACGTTTGGAGAGCGAACGCTGGCTCCACACGAGCAGGTGAATTGATAAATACACATTGATGAGGCCAGCAGTAGTAGCTTATCTTTCACGTTAACATGAATCATAGGTTTTGTGCAGAAGGTTATTCGTAGTTCAGCTGCGAAAAAGGTCTTCTTAAATGAGTGCGACAGTCGATTTTTTAGTGTTTCCGCAGATATATCTCCAATGAATTGAAGATTCATGTAGAGTAGTTTTTTCGGGACGCTAAGCATGAGCGGATTTTGTGGTCTAGTATTCATAGATTTTTCAATAAATCTTTCTGGATAACAAGTCTCTTGAGATTGTCCATTTTATCTTCTATGGTGTCCCGGGTGCAAATTCTGCGAACTCTGTAGCTGAGTGAGCGGATCAGGTTTCCTTTGGTGTATAGGGGTACGCAACTCTGAAAGTTAGTAAGCTGTCCGTTCCACGTCGACTTTCTGTGGATAAACCTACATATTTGTTGTGCGATCGGCTCTGTTCCACTGCAGAGTTTATTGTTGCTTATTCTTTCTGGCCGGCCATTTGATCTTTCGTATGTAACTAGCGAAGGGGAAGCTTTTGAAGAAAGTCTACAACCTGTTGGAAATTATTTTCTTGACATGCTGGTCAAGTTTCTGACCCGTATAGAAGGACCGACGTGACATAGGTGTTGAAAATCCGAATCTTGTTATTTACGGTGAGTGACAGTGGAAGATTTCTAAACTGTTTTCAGATTGATGAAGGTGTATCTTGCCTTTCCGATTCTGAATGGCTTTGACATCTTCATCCGTTTCGCCGGCTTGTAGTTGATACGATTCTTCCTGGTCAGATAAGTGAAGGATGCAGCCTGTGTTAAATCTCTTCCGTTGATAGTAATTGGTGCTGGCTGTTGTTGCTGTCCACTTGTTTGTTGGTTGTCTTCATCACCTTCGTCTTCTCTGTGTTCACCTGCAGTCCTGTTTTTGCTGCTGGCTTCTTCAGCCAGTTTGTTGGTTTCCGCTTGCAAGTCTTCGAGTTTGTGTGACATAAGACATATATCATCCACACGCGAAATCCAGATCTTGTGGAGTCTTTTTATCGGTGGTTCAGCGTATTCCTGACTCTTCGCCCCCAACAGTCTGACTCATAATCCAGTCCACCACAATTGAGAATATCATCGTGGGTGATAATAGGCAGCCTTGTCTGCCTATTCAACAATAAACATAAAAGAATAATTTTTAAACATGATTTTTGTTTTTCCTAATTACTTTTCTCTCTCTCTTCCTTCTCTTCATTACAGCAGTATGCAAACAGATTTCTATCCCGATTAACCAATGGTGATATTACATTGATTTCAAGTGATCATTATGGTGTCAATTCAAGTGATACAATTGGAAAACGATTAACAACAATCTGGGAAGTTGGTGTGGTAAGTAGTAGTCATTGCAATAAATTTGAATTTAAAAAAAAACACGCAAATTTCATCATGAGCTGACTTCGGTTAGAGAACCATTGGAAAACCTGCAGGGAGAACTGGACAGCTGTTTCGTCCTACTTTAGGACTCTTCATCAGAACGCACCCAGCTCACCTTGTAACCAGAAGGTCCTGGGTTCGAACTACTGTGATGGGTGCATACTGATGAAGAGTCCCAAACTAGGGCGAAACAGGTGTCCAGTACTCCCTGGTTTTCTAATGGTTCTCTACCCGATGTCAGCTCATGATGAAATCCTGTAACCAATCAACCAAATGCCTACAAATCAATAACTTGAAAAGCAAATTTCATTCATAAATTGTTTGTTGTTTGATTACTAATAACTTATATAAATTATTATTCCTTTACTTTCCCACTGGAACATAGGGTTTCAAGCTACAGCTTTGAAGTTTCGGCAGTAGTGGGTCTTTTTCTTTATTGTTGCGGGGTGGGGTTGCTAGCCTCATACACAACCTTCCCTCTTTATCGGACTTATTACCGGCGTAGACTGGTTTACGACTGCGTCTGTGGCCGAGAATCGAATCTCGGACTACGCGTGGCGTGGTTGGTAAGCGTTCTACCGCTGAACCACCAACACTAATCAGTTAAAAGTATATACATATATCATTGTTCATCTGACGGAGTGTCGGACTATAATTTCCAAGGCTGTTGAATCGAATCCCCCTGCAATCCAGATTTTCAATTCATCTTCCATCATTACTCCCTATGCGAGTATCTAATCTCAGAAATTCTAAGCCCGAGCAACTAAATAGGCCAAAAAACAACGATATAAAATACAATTGTATCGTCAGTTCATCCAAGTGCCTAGCCAGAATTCATCTGTGTGAAATAAGTCGAAGCCGGAACAGTCCTGATTAGCTAGGCCTCTAAAACGAATGAAACAATAGTTCCGTTAGTGTTACATCTCTTTGACTAACAAACACTACTGCTTGACGTCCCTGATATCCAGCCTCTGTATCGCCGACCATGCACATGGTCCGGAGTTCGATCTCCGGCCGACGTAAACATGATATCATTGGTTAGCCTACTAAATTTGGGCTACGCATATCACATGCTGAAAACTCCATACTTGTAACAAAATACTGTGTGAAATCAAGATATAATAAAATCACGAAAAATACCCATTTATTCATAAGTAAAAACACAGTTTTTTTGTTCAGCGAAGAAATTTCTTTTCAACGACTTCATTTTCAAGCCGACTGTACAGTCGTATTTATATTACAGAAAAGGTTATTAAGTAGCACTAAATAATTGCTCAGTAAATATACATATATATGTGATAAGAATAACGGTAATTAAAATGTTATAAGGGGTAGAGTTGAAGTGGATGAATTACAAAATTTTTAAAGATTGTTTTATAAGTGAATTGATATCAAACATTTTTTAAAATGTCAAGTGTTGTCTAAAAATTTTAAAATTAGGAGTACGATTACGATAAGAATGAAGATGTGAAGTGAAGTGAAATGAATTCAAGTGGTAAAATAAAATACCATGACCAAGGTAGAGAAAGGGGTTTGAAAAAACGTTTTTGATCACATAATTTAGGTTTCTGTTAATGTATAGCTAAAGCTTCGGCTATGCATAAGTGAAGAAAACGTAAACTTTTGGATCGATTCGACTTTGCCATGTAGATAACTTTGAAAGATGAATCACGTGGGACTGAATGACCAGACTCTAACAGGTGATCACAAATAGACGACTTCGCAGTTCTACGTTCGCCTTTCATTAAGCAAACCGGATATTGTTCAGCTACACGTTTTCGGAGATTACGCCTACAACGTCCAATATAATCAGCTCCACAGGAACAGGTAAAATAGTAAATGCACATAGATGTGGACATTAGCGTAATCTATCCTTGACGCATTGTCTAATCATATTTCGGCTGGTAAAAACTAGTTGCAAGTCAGTTGCAGGAAAAGTACGTTTAATACATTTAGATAAACGATTTTTAATCAATTCCGAAATGGTGTCACCTTGGAATGCAAGACTCATAAACAGTTTTTTTTTTGGAACTGTGATTTGTCTAGGGGCGGATTCTTTCTTGATGTTAAGTTCAATAAACCTTGTAGGATATCCATTGTTAAAAAGATTTGATCGAAGGTTATCTAGTTCACTATCGATTGTCTCTGCAGAGCAGATTTTACGAATTTTGGAGCATAAGGAATGAATAAGATTTCTCTTTCTCCCTAACGGTACCCAACTGTTGAAGTTAGTGTACTGCCCAGTGAATGTTGGCTTTCGGTAAATCGAGCTTAACAGCGTTCCATTCTCTCTTCTATCTCGCTTAACGTCAAGGAAGTGACACGAGGAATTCGACTCTTCTTCGACCGTGAAAAGCAAATATGGGTGAGAACCATTAAATATTCCAAGAAGTTCGGCAGTTGAAGAGTTTTCCTCACAGACGATGAAAGTATCATCTATATATCTTCGATACATAAACACACTCTCGATGGTTTCCTTTAGTGGGCCTTTCTCTAAGCTTGCCATGAAGACATCCGCTAAGAGCGGTCCTAAAGGATAATAAAATAAAAATAAAAATCAATCACTCAGTTAATGAGTAGCAGATAGCATCCTCTCCTTTTCCTTCAATTTCATATGTATATTTATGCATGCGTTTTCATAATTGTATTATTAAAGATACGGTTACAGCAAAGAAAATTTTCATGTCGACGAAGTCACCGTCAACTAGGTTGTACAATCGTGTATTTATAATAAATGGGTGGGAAAGTTCCAGAATAATTTCAGCTCAAGGGTCAAATTAATAAAAATACAATCAGGAATTAAAATGCCATAATAAACCGAGAGTGAGACGGATAAAACTCAAACAAAGTAGCATCATAATTACTGAAAACATTGACATATTGTGCAATTAGGAGTTAAAAATGTAGAAATAACGAAAATAGACAAGATGGTTGGATAAAAAGCCTAGTGGGATCATAACTAATGCGACGAATAATTGTTTATGCAGTTAGGGATTAAACATGTAGAAATAATAAAATGACAAAATAAACAAGAAGTTCGGATATGAAAATATGGTAGTGTTAATAGTGAAGGGATTAAGAAGAACTTAAAAATAACGTGAATAAACAGGAAGTTTGGATAAGAAAGGCAATGGGATGGTCCCTATTAAAAGAATTACCTGTTTATGATGGCCATGCCAGGGACAAGGGTTGGATGTATTTCTTTTGGACACATAACTTGGGTTTGAGCTTTTGGATGACTAGTGCCTCGGCTATAACTAGATGTCTTAATTTTATTCCCTTTGATAGGTTTGATCGAATATTGTATATTATTTTGAAGAATTTTTCGAAAGGCCCTGAATGTTGTGAATTGAGCAGGTTTTCTATCACTGAACTAGCCAGACTGGATAGTGTACACGAGAGCGTTTTTCAAGGCGCATGGTACGTTCGATGTGCTCAGCTCCGCAAGTGCGAGTAAACTGGTATGTACACGTTGAAGTGGCTCAAGGCGACAGCTTGTCTTTCGTGTTCTGGCTGAACAATTTCTTGCAGGAAACCACCCATTTATTATAAATACTCGAATGTACAGCTGTCTAATTGACGGTGACTTCGTCGAGAAGAAAATTTTCTTCGCTGCAACTGTCTGTTTTTTTGATAATTGTACTATTCACTACAATTTTATTACTTTTATCGTTTTTAGCCATCTGGATGGTTGGATGCTACATCTTTTGTCAATATTATCTCCGCAAATGCAGCACGTTATCTTGGCTTATATCCAAGCAAAGGTTGTCTCTCTCCTGGATCAGATGCTGATTTAATACTATGGCCATCTGATAGTATAACCCGCTGTGGTGTTGGAAAACCCACACTGGTTATACATCATGGTAAATTAATTGTACACGAGGGTAAATTGATTGACGCTAATAACACTACCAGTAATAATACTCTTCTGAAGATTACACCAATCAATAAACTCAGTGAATTCCAATCAAATCAACCGTGTGGCTTATTGAAGACAGGGAAAACATTTCCACCAACTATCTATGGTTTGGTGAAAGCATCTGAAAGAGTAAGTGAATAAATTAAAGTGGATTTTTATAATTTTTTCCTTCTTTATAACAATTTCGGTGTTAGAATGCCCACCAATCATCTGCTTGGCCTAGGGTTCGATTCCTGGCCGGAGGCATTCCTAAACCTCCTATTGTATTTACCAGCTGATATTAGGCTTAGAAAAGACAGATAGTTGGATATGAGACAGACGAGCAACTCTACCGAGTAATAATAATAATAATCTACTTTATTCCAAAACAGACAGTACTTATAATGCAGAATGGAATTCTCAATATTTGTCACAATATTGCATCTAATTTACTCAAAATATAAATAAAATTAAAAATTAAAACAAAATTAATCGGAGGAATTTGTCCACATTTACGACATAATTATTAGATATAATAATAATAATAACAGTGAGTTTGTTTCAAACGGTATTGTTGATTCAGTTTTGAAACTTTAGCATGTTATAGATTATTGGGTCTAATGTTCTGTTGATATAGTATAGTAAGGGGAAATACAAAATTAACAGTCATAATACAGCTTAAATTATGTCCACACTTATGAAAAAAAATAAACAACACGAAAAATTGAGAGGATTATAAATATAAGAAATACAATAACAATAAAGTATGATGCTTTAAGGGTGAAGGAAATGGCTTATTTAATAGTGCAAAGAAGGTTAGTTAGTTAGTTCATGTCTGACACTATTTTCATCACATAAAGTACGTGCTAAATATGGTATAGTGGAATTTTTATACTTAGACGTACGTGCATAAAGTCTTCTGAAAAGACTTCTTGTTTTACCTGAGGAGACACAAGGTTGGAGCTGAGGGTAGAGTGGGTGCTCAGAGTCTGACAAAATTCCTTTAGCGAAATTGTTGCATGACATCAAGTGCCTATCAGTGACAATGTCAACGATATGGCCGAATGAGATACCACTCGTCCTACTGACAGTCTTCAGAGTTCTACGAAGTATGACATAGTCTTTTTTAAGCAATCCAGGAAAGAATAAGGGTGAACATTAAAGAAGAATAGGTAAAATACACGAGTTGACAAACTGTAAGAGGAGTGGTTGGGTTATGCCTGAGTGCCTTAACTTCTTAATGTAAAAAGTCAAACGAAATATTCCTTTGGAAATCGCTAAGACATGGGAGGACCCGGATAGGTCAGAAGAGAGAATTAATCCAAGATACTCAACTTCAGACTTGGTTTCTATATCAGTATCATCAATTTTGCAAGGGTTATAGAAACCAACGGCTTCATTTAATTTTCGTTTACATCGGAAACTGAAATTAACAGTCTGACATTTGGAAGGATTAAGTTTAAGGCCGTTTGACTAAGACCATTTGCTAATTCCTGATAGAAAGTGCAGTCAAGCAAAACTGTTACTGAAACCTCAGCTGCTGGAATCTGTATGTTCCCCTAGGAATGCAGACAATGAAGTAACAAATTTGATTTTTTTTTCTGGCTATAACACTTATTCATAAAGATGATCTACACAAATATGGTTGAGATCACTCTTGAAAAAAAGCCTTGAAAATGGAATAAGATCTGAAATGTATTCTTTTAAAAAAAGAGATTAGGTGTTTTCTTCACCTACCACTCGATACCTCATTGAGATCAGGGTGGGATTCAGCAGCAGTGGGGATCAGTTAGAGAACCCCTGAAAACCGAGCAGCACTAACTTCAAACACAAGGAGAGACACTGTTTGACCTGGCGACCCCCATCATCAAATCAACGATGGACACAAATAGACCACATAGCAATAAGCTATCGTTGGCGTGGGTCGGTAGGAGATTGTCGCTCCTTCTGGAACACGTGTGTAGATACCGATCACGCACTGGTCCGCGCTCGTGTGTGCTTACGACTGAACGGACGTAGGAAACAGCTGGCGGTAAACCCATCACGTCCCCAGCTCGACCAGGGAACTAAGTCCCTATTTGAGGAAGAACTAGCTAAACACATATCTGAGTTTGACAGCTGCGCTCACCCTGAAGAAGCCTGGAAGAATATTCAGTCAGCCATAGATACAGCTGTAAAAGCTGTGAATAAGGTAATTCCAAAGGTGAGTAAAAACCATTGGATTTCGACTGCCTCATCCGAACTGATAGATGCCAGAAGACTTATTCCGGCGAGCTCCGAATTCAATGAGGAGCGAAAGCTGCACAAGAGGAAACTTACGAAAAGTCTCCGCAAGGACCGTGAACAGTGGTGGTTGACAAAGGCGAAAGAGATGGAAAAAGCATCGGCGATAGGCAACACCAGACAACTATTCAGGCTTATCAGGGAAACAGGTGGTAAAAAACAAATGATAAGCGAAACAATCTCCGAGAAAAATGGCACCATAATTAGCTCCCAGGATAGACGTCTGCAGCGCTGGAAAGAACACTATGAGGAGCAGTTTAATTGGCCCACAGCCACACTTAACCTACCGGACATCCAACACCTCCCTGAATGGGATATAGACACAGGTCCTCCGTCCTTAACCGAGGTTACTAAAGCTGTCACCAATCTGAAGCTAGGCAAAGCAGCGGGACCTGATTTATTGACTCCAGAGGTATTTAAGTACGGAGGTGACAGTTTACTGTCTGCGTTAACAGAGGTTCTAGGCAGCGTTTGGGAATCAGAGGAAGTCCCATCGGGTTGGTGTAAGTCACTGATCATCCCGATATACAAGAAGGGGGACAAGTCGTCTTGTGATAATCACAGAGGGATTAGCTTGACTAATATAGTATCTAAAATCCTAGGCTCAATAATACTGCGTAGATTAAGTGGTGCTCGGGAGACACAAACACGAGAAAACCAGGCAGGTTTTAGGCCAGGTAGAGGGTGTATTGATCACATCTTCACCCTTCGACAGATTCTAGAACATAGGCATTCCTACCGGCGTCCGACAATCATTATATTTCTTGACCTAAAGGCGGCATTCGATTCTGTCGACCGGGAGGTTCTCTGGCGATGCTTGGCTGTAAAGGGAATGCCAAGAAAATACATTGCACTGATTAAGGCACTCTACTCGTACTCATGCAGCCAGGTGAGGGCTTATGGCGAGTTGTCATCTGAAGTGGTGACGACTAGTGGCGTCCGTCAAGGATGCCCATTATCCCCATTCCTATTCAATTTCATCATAGATGTACTAATGGACTTAACCCTAACTCACTTCAGCGACTCAGGGATTGACTTGCTACCAGGGAATAATCTCGTTGACTTAGAATATGCGGACGATATAGTCCTTCTAGGCGAGGACTCTGACAAAATGCAGAGTCTACTGAACACCCTGAGCAACAATCTCCGCATGTTTGGCATGCGATTCGCCCCTATAAAATGTAAGATGATGCTGCAGGATTGGACTTCACCGACCCCTAGATTAGAAATAGGAAGTGAAGTGGTAGAATACGTTGACCGCTTCACTTACTTGGGAAGTACCATCAGCCCCAACGGGTTGATCTCCGACGAAATCTCAGCACGAATACAGAGGGCTAGGTTCGCATTCGCCAGTTTTCGCCGTCTCTGGCGTAGACGCGATATCCGACTATCGACCAAAGGGCGTGTGTACTGCTCAACAGTCCGCTCCGTCCTCCTTTATGGCTGTGAGACCTGGCCATTGAGAGCAGGAGACATGAAAAGATTAGCTGTCTTCGATCATAGGTGTCTGCGTTCTATCTCTGGTGTGAAGTGGTATAATAAGGTGAGCAATATTGAGGTTAGGCGTCGAGTGCTAGGTAAGGCGGGGAAATCAATCGACGAGACTGTGAAATTACTTCGACTGAGATGGTTAGGACATGTGCTACGTATGCCTAGTCATCGCCTTACTCGACGGCCAATGTTAGCTGATATAGGGTCAGGCTGGAAAAGAGCTAGCGGCGGTCAAACCAAAACATGGCTTCACCAGTCAATGAAATCTACAACAGTTAAACTAAGCCACGTAGGAAGATGTAGACTTCCTGGTTGGGGCCCTCGGGATGGTAAAAACCAATGGTTGGAAACAATTGGTGACATGGCTCAAAATCGTTCTCAGTGGCGCAGATGCATCCACTCCTTGTGACTTATGATTTCCAATTAAACTTTTGTTCTCCGTTATTACTATTCCTTTGTCTAACACCTCTGTTTACTGTCTATACTATGCATTTCTTCTACTTCCTTCTCTTGCTTTGCGTGCTACACAGATTGTGGCGACTTGAACTGCCGCACATATGTGCAAAGTTCTATGTCGAAAACCGACCGACCGACCGAGCAGCATTGTACTGTTGTTTCGTTGTAGTTTGAGCCTCTTAATGTAGAGTGGACATAGACAAGACGGAGGTTATGAAAATAACCAACCAACAACAACAACAGCAGCAACATCCAGCGCCAATCACCATCAACGGGAGGGATTTGAAAGAGGTTATTTCATTCACTTATCTAGGGAGCATTGTCTCAACTACAGGCACATGGAATGGACGAGGATGTCAAATCGAGAATCGGGAAGGTGAGAAACACATTCATCAACCTGAAACCAATCTGGAAATCTTCGTCACTCAGCATCAACAACAAAATTCGGATTTTCAATACAAACGTCAAGTCGGTCAGTTCTTCTATACGGATCACAAACTTGGCGGGTCACAAAGAATATTTCCAACAGCCTGTTGTAGACCTTTATCAACAGCTGCCTTCGTTCTATACTCAAGATCAGATGGCCAGAAAGAATCACCAACAAGAAACTATGGGAACAAACAAAACAAGAACCAATCGCTCAACAAATATGCAGGAGAAAGTGGAGATGGATTGGACACTCACTGAGGAGGCCGCTGGGTGACATCGCGCGTCAGGCCAGTGCTCGAGTGGAACCCGAAAGGAAAGCGGCGAGTGGGACGTCCAAGGGTGACATGGAGGAGATCGTGTGAAGAGGAGCTGAAACAGTATGAACTAAGATGGATGCAGGTGAAAAGTACAGCAGAAGACAGAAGCAAGTGGAGACGTGCAGTTGAAACCCTATGTTCCACTAAGAATACAAGGGAACAATAATAATAATAATGTAGAGTGCACAAGTGATCCCTGCTCATAGGTGAAATTGGTGTGTGGTAGCAGAAGTTCGAGTTCAATACACGTCAGTGAATAAGAGGAGTTGAGTAAATGTATTACGGTTGCGTAATAAGATGAATAATTTCAATAGATGAGTTGTAATCAGGATGGACATAGAAACGAAGAAAAATATGAAATTACGTAAGAGTTTTAAAGAGTTGAAAAATAAACAAATACAAACTGAAAAAGGCTTTTTGTATTTCACAGTGAATGAAAAACAAAACGACAATGCTGCTGTGTTTACTGACGTTCCGCTACTTAATACTGCTGCTAATAGCTTTACCAAAGAAGTAATATTAAACCAGAGTTTAAAAAATCCTCTCAGCTTATATATAACAACTTAATCATCGTTCCTCAGGATAGGGTCGTTTTTGCGTTGTCAAGTTGGCTAAACATGGCAAGAAATCAAAATCAGAAGAAATGAATACTGTAGAGCCGCCTCTATTCAACCACTGAGAAATCCAGTTGAACTAGAAAAGCTTGAAAAATCATCAGCCACGCTATAGCATTAGGCCACAAAATTGATTTTGACAATATTGAAGCCATCATCCAGAAAAAGCATTTCAGAAATCACAAAAAACGTCTAATATCATCAGAAGCACTTCATATTAAGTGGAATCCAAATTGCCTGGTGAATAGGAGTCATGATGGACTAAAACAGACTTTGACCTGGTTACAACACCCCTGTCCCCCAAGAAATGACAATATCAACACGAATGTGATAAGCAATTTCACTATGTTAACACACATGCTGCTTTTATAATTTCACACACTTATCAAATCCAACAATCTACACATGATGGTTTTGTTATCTTAACCAATTGGCCAACTTGACAACGGAAAAATGCCCCCGCGCTGATGAACGATGATTAAGTTTTTATATATGTAAGCTGAGATTTTGTAAATTCTAATTTATTAATACTAATTTGATAAAGCTATTAGAAGCAGCATTAAATAGCGAAATGTCAGTAAACGCAACATTGTCGTTTTGTTTTTCATTCTGGTGTGTTTGTGTTCTCTGAGCTGGATGGTTTGGATGCGAAGCTTTCATTGCTCTACTGAGCAACATCTTCAGCGCATACTTCGATGTTTTTCATTCATTGGGAAATACAAAAAGCCTTTATTATAATGGATATCATATACCCAATGCCCAAATTTTTTCAAACTGTTGAAAGTGAACTTGATTTGGACACATAAAACACAAACTGAACTATTAGAAATCGATAAGTTCGTATTAAAATTTTCTTTTTTATGCATAGCTACGGTCTCTTTAAATGAATGGCTACAGCTTCAGCAATGCAGAAGAAACGGAAGTTACTCTGAAGGAACAGTCTGTTAACATAGGTGGAATGACCAGTGTTGATAAGGTGTCCAATTATAGCACTCCTTATAGAGTCACTTCTACCTTTCTACAACCATACAGGATAGTGTTCTTAAACCTACATTTTAGACAGGATGCTCGTCAAACTAACAATAAACCTGGCTCCACAGGAACATGTGAACTAATATATATGCATCACATAGAAGTAGTCAAATGAGAGATCCACTCATTTAGACGTCTGCAAAGTCAGTAGAAAACTGGAGAACACTACTCGTAGAGTTGTTGTGATGAATATTCTTCACAAAGATGAGGACAATTTTTCTCTTAAGGATACGAAAGGTTAAGTTTCCCTTGGAATTCAGATTCGTGGTATAAGTAACGCTTTATTCCTCTGAAAAGAAAACAAAACTTTACATGAATTTGGATTTCAAGGGAGACTTAACCTGAAATGTCTCTAAGAGAAGGACATTCTTCTCATAACACTAACAGTAGTGTTCTGAAGAAGTCCTCCATTGGTCTAGAGAAGTTCGAATTCACGGGTCTTAATCCACTAACTGGATAGTCAACTGGCTTTCGTGGTAACCCAAAGGTCCTAAGTTCGATATCTGGTGAGGTCGTTGGTGTGTACTGCTGAAAGATACAACACTACGATGGAACAGAGTTGTTCAGTGCACCTTACTTTCCAGTGAATCTCTAATTGGATTTCAATTCATGATGCAGTATACACTGAAATTAATTCAACTATTTACAAGACCCAAAAATCCGGATTTATTAAAAGTTTTAGTATATTGTGTTTTGTCCTATTCCATGATCGTGTATTCTTAAGTTGTTAAGAGAAGTATTTCACCCCGATCACATTTTCAAGTACTGTTTCGATAATGTGTTAATAGCTTGTTAGAGTTTGGATTAAGATAAGTGTAGAACAGCTTGGTCTCTGTGCTGGTAGTAGAATGTAATTCCATATTAGGTAAGTTTATTTTAAATATCACACACAGTGATGAAGATGCAGTATTAACAACTGGATGACAAGGTTTCGAGCATAAATTGTTGCTTATAATCATATCATCAATTTTAGTCTCACACTTTCACAATCTGTCTTATGTTAGAGTTAAGATCATAGGAAGAAGAAAATTTTCTTTTCGACGAAGTCATCAACTAGACAGGTGTACATTCGTGTATTTATAGTAAATGGGTGGGAAAGTTCCAGAATAATTTCCGGTCAAGGGTCAAATTAATAAAAATATAATTAGGAATCAAAATGCCATAATAAACAGGCGGAGGGGAGAGAGCGGATAAAACTCAGAGAAAGCAGCATCATAATTACTGAGAGGATTGACATTGATTGTGAAATTGGGGGGTTAGAAATGTAGAAATAACAACAATAGACAGGATGTTTGGACAAAAAATCTAGTGGGATCATAACTAATGTGATGAAAATTTGTTTATGCAGTCAGGGATTAAATATATAGAAATAATAAAAGAATGAAAGAAGTACGCCCAACCCTTGTCCCTGCCATGGCCATCATAAACAGGTAATTTTTTTAGTAATGACCAGACCATTACCTTTTTTATCCAAACTTCCTGTTTATTCATGTTATTTTTAAGTTTTTCATAATCCTTCCTATTAACACTACCATATTTTCATATCCGAACTTCCTGTCTATTTTGTCATTTTATTATATCTACATATTTAATCCCCAACTGCATAAACAATTATTCGTCACATTAGTTATGATCCCACTAGATTTTTTATCCAACCATCCTGTCTATTTTTGTTATTTATACATTTCTAACCCTAATTGCACAATCTACCAATCTTCCCAGTAATTATGATGCTACTTTGTTTGAGTGTCATCCTTCCCCCCCTCCTGTTTATTATGGTATTTTAATTTCTAATTGTAACTTTGTTAATTTGACCTTTGACCGGAAATTATTCTGGAACTTTCCCAATCATTTATTATAAATACACTAATGTACAGTTATCTAGTTGACAGTGACTTCGTCGAGAAGAAAATTTTCTTCGCTGCAACCGTCTTTTTAGAGTTAGGATTAGAATTACGATTAGGGTTGAATTAAGAGCTACAACTGTCGGTGGCACAGCGGTAGAATGCTCGCCAACCACGCCTCACATGACTCGGCGTTCGATCCCCGGCCACAGACGCACTAGTTCACCTCTCCAATCCAGTAATAAGACTGGTAAAGAGGAAAGGTCGTGCATGGGGCTAGCGATCCCATCCCGTAAAAGTAAACAAGCACCACTGCTACCGAAACTTCAAGCCTCTAGCTTGAAGCCCTATGTTCCACTTGGAAGGTAAAGGAATAAAAAAAGGGTTACAATTAGTTTTAGGTTTGGTATTATTTATCTTTACTATCCACATCTTCCTAGTAAACAGTCATCGAACCTCTTACTGGAACCCATACTAATTAAATTGACGGCCGCAAAACAGACTAAGAGATAAATGGATAATCGTATATCAAATGGTTTTTAAGAAATTATATCCGGTCAGGGAATGGAATCATAGGTATGAATGCATAAAATAATAATAGTAGTAGTATGAAATGCAATTAAAACTAAAATGTTTGTGATTATAATCATAGTTAAATGTCAAGTGGCAAAGCAAATTAAAGTCATATATAGAATAATTCATAAGATAGATAGAACTTAGAAAGGGTGTGCAATTATAGGATTAGTAGACAAATCGAATAAAATAAAAACGTTACGCAATATTGTGTGAAATTTGATAAGATAGAACCTAATGTTGCAAAACAGAATTGATTTAGAATGACAAGTGGAACGAATGAAATAATACCGGGGGCAATTAAAAGTGAGAGTAGTAATAATAACAATTGACTTAATAAGGAAGCTATTACAAACTGAATAGACAAAATGAAAAGATAAAAAAATTGGTAGAGCAAAAATATGATTAGGGATTGCCATACTTTAGCATAGAGGGATTAAATCCATGAGAGTTGGATGGATTAAACAAACTTTTCCTGTACACAGAGATCTGGCTTTTCTGTTTCGAAAGCCAAAGTTTCAGCAATACAGATGAGTCGGGTACGTAGTGATTTCGGTAAATTACTTTTTTGCCTTGTAGATAACTTTAAAGGCGGAGGCTGTAGAGATAGAATGATCATTATCGACCAGATGTTCAATGATCGCGCTTCTTATTGCTCCACTTCCACCTCTTCGTAACAACCATGCAGGATAGTGTTTGTGCACCCTTTTGGACAAAACTCGAGTAGAACGACCGATATACCTAGCTCCACACGAGCAGGTGAATTGATAAACTCACATAATGTTGGTTAACAGCGTGATCTTGTCCTCCTTTTCTGATTGGTCGACTCAAGGTCACCCGTTTGTTCGCACCCCGTGGGTCGTTAAAGTTTAACTTTGCCGAGAAGCCTAACTTATGTGTTCAGAAGAAGTTGGTTCAGATACCTTCCCTACGTTGGCCAACATTGTTTTAAGTATCTTCAATTGTCGCATAAATCTCCGTTATTTGTTCAAGGTTATTTGATGGTCACCATAATCATCAATCTTTTAATATTACCTCAATTTTACGAATAATTTAAATTTGTGTTTCATTTCGATTTCTTTTATCATCTCAACAGTTGCGTAAAAGAAATCAAATGCCAATAGATCGTGAACCTTGGACAATGAACAACTTAAATGAAGCGCTATTGAATTCACAACAATCTTCAAATACACTAAATAATGGTACAAATAATAATGCAATTGTAACGCCTAATTCAAACGATGAACAGAAAATCACAGATAAAGTACAAAATTCAACGTCATCACTGAATGTACGCACAATCCATGGGCATAGAGATTTACACGCATCTGGATTCTCATTAAGTGGTTAGTGGTGTTATATTGTATGTATATATATGTGTGTGATGAATGCTATTTATCAGTGTAATGATTGCACACATAGACATTCATATTCAGCAGTACGCAGCAATCACCCTACTGTCAGGTATTGACTCGAGGACTTTCAAGTTACAATGCGAGAGTGTAGACCATTAAGCAAAGGCGAGTATTTGTCTTAAAACCCCCCAATGTGGTGGACGATCCCACTGATAACGCCAGTTTACTGCAAAATCATCTCAAGTACCCAGCTAGCATATAAATATGTGTACTCTTATTGTCAATGTATGATAGAAGAGTTTTAATAAGTTATGATCTTAGATGGTTGCAGGCAATCGGTAGAGAAACCTTGGACCTAGATTTCGTGCTAGTTGGTGCTCTCGCCAACAAAGTGAATCTGCAACCTTCAGACTGCATCGTGATAGAGAGCCACCTAGAATGGTGGCCATATTGTAAACTTAAATGACGATAGAATTCGATCTACACCATCACCAACGACTTGACACACACACATTACACTAGTTACTGACTAGTGTCTAACCAAAAGTATCCAATACAGTCAGTCCTACAGGAGGTCTATGGCGAGCCTAAATAGCTCAGTGGTAACGTCTCTGACTGCAGTATACACTGGTTAACGCGGTTTTGAATCTCAGAAGGGACATGAGTTCCTTTAAGGTGCTTGTAGATACGCCTCGCTGACTGACTGGTGAGTGCCAACAAGCACGAAACCTAGGTAATCCAAGGCTTTCTGTGGCCGATCGCCTCCAACCGCTTAATATCAAGTATTCACAAAATGCACCGTAATGGTGAGCCACCTAGTGGAATGGTGGCCACATTTCCGACCTGACTGATAGAATTCAATCTACACCAAACAAAGGACTAGACAGATTACACTAGTCACTAACTAGTGTCCAATCAAAAGTTACGATCTGCATAGATTATCAGAAATCAATGAGAAAGTAATGGGCCTCTCAAGGTATCGTGCTTATTATTATTGTTGTTTCCATGGGGTTCCGCAGTGGAACATAAGGCTGTCTTCAACAACAGCACATCTCCACTTTATCCTATATTCAGCTGTCCTCTTTAACTGGGCCCTCGATTGCTCATAGTTTCTTATCTCCTCCATGTCACCCTCGGACAACCCAGTAGATTGATTGCATTCAAGATTTCCGCTTTTGTTGGAGTCCACTGGCAGGCAGCTCTGTACATGCTGTTGGTAGGATTTTTGGGCGAGTTACAGGTGATGATGGTCGATTCAAGAGTGTTTTGAAGTGCTCAGCCCATTGATTTATTTATCCCTCCTCTTTGGTAATAAAAATACCTTAACCATCTTTTATAGGTTCAACCTGCTATCTATCTAATATCATCAAATCAATGTGCACCGTGATGGCTAGTCACCTAGTGGCATGGTGGCCACATTGCATACCTGACTGGTAGAATTCAGTCTGCACCAAAAGAAAGGACTAGACACGTCACACTAGTTACTAGTGTCCAATAGAAATAGGTTTAACCTGCATTGATCTTTTCCTGAATAGAGGCCTGCTTATTTGATATAATATTCTGAGGTCTGTTTCACCTACAATCTCCGATGAGTAATATGATTTTCTCCACTGAGACTTCAAAATAGCACCCATCGTTTGGACCAAGTTAAACTTTAAGCACCACTAGCTAACTACCAATGGAGTGCGACCGCACCAATGACCTTGAAACGCTCACTGAGCAAGTTAGTGAAACCTAGCAAATTATGTTGTCATCATCAATAATATATGCTCATCGAAGTGTGATGCTATTAAATGGGATTTCTAGCAAGTTTCGGCTTAGGTTTGGGAAAGATTAAGTTAGGCGTTTAAGCCAAAGACAAGTTAGGGTTAGGTTAACCTCATAAAGGCGATATTAGGGTTGGTTCGAGTTAGCTTACAGTTAGTTTATGGATATTTTCACATTAGGGTTAGAAGACCTAAATAATTACATGCATAGAATGTGGTTAAATATCTCCGTTGATACAAGAATAGAATTTGTGCACTATGGTAGAGTATGATTCGATTGTGGGTGAAATTTAGACAAAGTCTCAGTGTTATACAGTAAGTAATGTTTACTGATGACGTTTCGAGAACAATTTATTGCTCAGTAAATACTACTGAATAACACTGTGAAACTTTCATTAAAATAAATTTTACCCAGAATGGAATTATACTCTGTTGATACTCCAACCTAAAAATGAGAGTAACTTTTTATCTCATGTGAGAGGAAGGTATCCTCTGTAACACTTTTCTACAGTTTTTAGGCGTTTTCTTTCATATACATATATGTATTCCATACACAAAAATGCCTCCTTCACGTGATTGGTGCGTTCAAGGTCATTCGCTGATTGGTGATAGTTAGTGGTGCTCAAAAGTTTAACTTAGCCATCGTTTGTAACGCCAAAGCGTTAACCACTAGGGGATTAACAATCACACCTCTTGAGCAACAGATATCATTTATTATTTTTTAAGGCAACAAAAATCAAACAGCATTCCAGTCTAACGGGAAATATAAAATGTCACCGAAATAAATGAATTATTTCTATATGTGTAAAACTTGAGCAATGTGATCGTATGTAATTCCATATTAATTTGTTTATTGGATATCACACACACACAGTCAGTGAAACAGTATTACTGTTTTTTTTACTGGATGATGTTTCGAACACTATTCATAATCATATTCTCAATTACAATCACACGACTTCGAAACTTGAGTTTTATAGTTTTCTTTGTTCTCTCCTATTTGTCATCGTTGAGGTGGTAGAATTTTCCGAATGTCTGGGGCAGACGTTGAATCATTCCTATTACACGTATTCTCTCTCAGTTGATTCAATAAACAAAGCTTCTGTTATCAATCTCTCCCTACACCCTGCTGCAACATCAGATTTTAAAACTGTCATCTTATCCCATCCCATTGCATGGTTGTGTGTAGCGAGTGCTATAGCTGAACTATTCTCCAGATTTCTTGTCAGTCAACTAATCTAGATTTTTCTGTTCCGCTATTCTGACTGACCCTATTCTACTACTTTGACCTGACAATCATTCCAGCAGGGTATTAGATAAACTAAATTGTTTTGTTTTAAAGGCTCTACAGGACTGATCCTTTAACCGACAAATCTTGTTTCTAATTGAGTTTGTTTGTTTGAATACCAGCCACTTTTATTCCCGCCTGCTTTGTTAAGAATTCTCCGCAAAGTTTCCGAGGTCCCTTTTTTGTATGAGAGTACTACTGATGGTTTAGAATCCTTATTGTTGTCATAATCCTGCGCATGTTTGACATACATGTCATCATTACTATTATCACCACTATCATTATTTATTTTATTTTCACATGTCCCTACACACTTTCTGACTAGTATATCAGGGTAACTATTAAGTTTCAAAGCTTCTCTCATATGCCCCACTTCCTATCTTAGATTTTCCTTGGTACTACTAAGTTTTTGTGCTCTATTATTGAAACATTTCACCAATCCTATTTTTCCTGACATAGACAGAGTGGGCTGATCGGAAATTCAAATATCTGTTTGAATGTGTGTGACTTTCTTGACACATCTGGAAAATTCTACCACTCCAACAACCTACGACGACAAATAGGCGAGAGAATAAAGAAACCTATAAAAGTCAAGTTTCAAAGTCGTGTGATTATAACTGAGAATATGATTATGAACAGTAGTAAAGTGTGCTAATTGAATTTTAGATTTTCCCATCGATTGATTGGACCGAAGTGTGCTCGATCTCAGGTTGACACGTCTGTCGGCTTCTTGTGCAGATGCTTCGACAATGCCTCGGCATGCAATTAGAAGTTAATTGGTGGGTGATGACTAGCACTGACCCAAGTGGTCTAGTGGATAACGCTTTGGCGTTGGAAACCATGGGGCACTGGGTTCGAGCCTCGGTGGGAACAACACTGGACTACGTCAACTCCTAGCTTAGTGATAGGGAGTGAAGTGATAGAACATGTTGACCACTTCACCTATTTGGGAAGTTGTATCAGCACCAACGGATTGATTGGTGACCAAATCTCAGAACGGATCCAAAAAGCTCGGGCTGCTTTCGCTAACTTACACCGTCTCTGGCGTAGGCGTGACATCCGGCTGTCAACCAAGGGACGTGTGTACTGCTCAGCAGTTCGTTCCATCCTTCTCGATGGCTCTGAAAAACGGCCAATACGAGTTGAAGACATGAAAAGTTTGACTGTTTTTGATCATAGATGTCTACGATCTCTTTCTCACGTTAGGTGGTATAATAAGGTAAGTAATGTTGACGTTAAGCGTAGAGTGTTGGGCAAAGAGGGAAAATCAATCCACGAGGCTATAAAGTTACATAGATTGAGATGGCTAGGTCACGTGCTGCGCATGCCTAACCATCGCCTCCCCCGACGGGCATTACTAGCTGATATAGGTGCAGGTTAGAAAAGAGTAAGTGGTGACATGCTAAACAAAAACATGGCCTCATCAATCCATGAAATCCTTGACAGTTAAACTGAGTCAGGTAGGGAGGGAGATGCAGACTTCCGGGTTGGGGCCCGCCCTCGGGACTCTAAGAATCAATGGCTGGAGACAATAGGTGACATGGCTCAAAATCGTTGTCAATGGCGCAGATGTATTCAGTCTCTTTAACCTTCATACTCCTTTCTACCACTACTCATTCTGTTTCACTCTTATACTTGTCAAAACTCTATTGATTCCTTGCACTCATCTTCTTGTGTGCTATTTGGAACGTGGCAACTCGAACTGCTGCACTTCGGTGCCAAGTTCTATGTTGAATCCAGCAGCAGCAGCAGCAGCAGGGAACAACACCGTCACTCACTGAGGAATGCAGGTACATCCAGTAGGATGACGAGTCCCAAACAGGACGAAATGAGCATTATCCTGCTAGTCATCATTCACCAATTAACTGTTAAGTAGTAAATTGTGTTTGACACATCATTCAGTAAAAAAGCAGTAATACTGTTTCACTGAGTGTGTACGTGTGTGATATATCTAACAAACAAATTAATATGGAATTATTGTATATTCTTTTGTCTTTTTTTTTAAAACAAATCCCCTGAACTGTTTGTTGTAGGTGCTCAAGTTGACGATGATCAACCACTACGAACAGGGATACGTACACGACAGACAAGTGAATCAAGAAATCCATTATGGTAGACTAATAATATTTCCTGATTTTTATTGACTAATTTGATCGATCGATCGATTGATTGACTGATATATTGATTGAGTGATACCATAGACAGATAGATAACATTTTTATTCATCTCTTACATTCACTTTCATATACACCTCTATCTACCTTCTTATTCTTCACTACTCACTCACTTACTAACACCCACTGCTCGTCCACTTCATCCACCTCGTCTATTCATCATTCTTCTTATATAAATCATCACATCAACATGAAATAATCACACGTCTTGATTATATATGTATACGTATATATATGTATTGAGATAAACACGACATATACAGCAGAAACTTGCAAGCATATATATATGGAAAGATTATATATATATATATATATATATAACATTATTACTCACGATAATAATAATAATAACGAATTGAATATATTCACACAAAGTGCATTCACCTCTGTTTTACATGTGTTACCAAGCGGGAAAATAAGTAGTATCGTATGTATATATATATGTTTAGACAAATATAGTTTAGAAAATGTCCGTAATCACGATTATGCATTGAAAACACCAATAACAAAAGACTTTTTAAAAAAAATGCACAATAATCCACCTGTTTTACCTGATTTTCAAAAATTGCGAGCAGACCCTCCCTCCCCCTGCTCCTCCTCAGACTCTCCGAATGATGAAGGCAGGGAGTGAAAGTCGCGTGCGCGCGCGCATACACGAAAATGAATATCCGAAAAAATATACATTTGTAAAGAAATACCAAGGTAGTAAGTAGTAAGTAAGAATAAAGGAAAAACACAGCGATCTATTGCGTCATTTTAAAAAAATAGAAAATGCAGTAGTTAGCCCCCCATTCGGCCCCTCCATCCAGTGATGAAAGGAGCAAGGAACGCACATACACGCCCACACACATACAGACAAAAAGGACACATACACAACCCTCACCCCAGCTTTTGCACTATTTAACATCAATGTGAAAGAAAGCTATTTGACTCTGGAAAAGGAGAGTTCACAAAGGCACAACAACGAGTATATATATATATGTGAGAAAAACATATAAAAAATAGAAAACAAGGCAGTATTTATAATGAAGTATCATTTAAAGGCACTGAGGAATGACGAAGGCAACACAGTGATTATCGATATATATATATATATATATAGCAAGGTAGCAAGGGTAGCAAGGTACACACAAACACACATTCACAAGGATAAGATAATGAATATAAAATACTGAAAAAAATAATTGAAAATAAAAGATCTATAGTTCTCTAAGCCCAGAGAAAAACTAACTAAATGCCAAGACAGTAATAATAATAAACTGGTGTGTAAAGGCAACTAGGAATGTGACACCTGAAGGGGAATACAACACGGCGGCGGCTATTGATTGACACCGAGATCTAAGCGTTCACAAATTTTTTTTAAAAAAATATTTTTTGTAAATGCAGCAATTACCAACAACAAAATAGTCGTCAAATACAAAACAGAGGTGATACAAAAAAAAGGCAAAAAAATATACCAAAAAACAAAATGAGATCAAGACCAACAGTATGTTGGCAATGAGCAATTGTAGTAGTAGTAGTACAAAGTAGGCACATAAATACTACTTATAATAGTAGTAATAATAATAATACTAATAGTCCGAAAAAAAATTGACGTCAAAAAATACTCAAAGTCAAGAAAAAATAGTAACAATAAATTCCTTATATTTTGCGGTACGCCTTTACCAAAATGGTATTTATAATAGTTATAATAATAATAATAATATAAAAGCCTGGAATGAAGGTAGATACGTCTTCCGACAAAATGCAATTGGACCCTTCGAATTCAAATCTTTCCTGAAGCGTGTTTGAGGTGGGAAAAACAAAACAACAAAAAGAAGACAAGAAACGCGCTGTCTGTACTCGTCTACAGCCTAGAGTCATACAAAATAATTACCATTTGAGCTGGCAGTTAACTGGACAGTGACGTTATTCTTTGGTATTCGTTGTCCAGACGACGCGTCGTCAGTCGATATCGCCACGGGTGCAGAATCTGTACCAGTTGGAAGAGATGTTGTTATTATTACCACAGGACTACTACAATTGTCACAACAGTTATCTGTCTTATTCGTGCCATCAGCATTAACATTATCATTATTACCGTCAGTATTCTTCTGATGACTAGAATTATTACTATTACTCTGACTGTTACTCTCCGCGCTACTACTACAACAACCGGCTAACGCTAAACCAGTCATCGCAGTATTTATCCCGAGACTTGTATTTGCTGGTTGATTTTCAATATCATCAATCCACGAGTCGGCCGCCTCATCCTCATCGTCTGTTGTAGCCTCATCTTCATAAGTGATAAGGCTATCCTCCTGTTCATGAAATGATGACTGCTGGAGTATCTTCTTTCTATGAAGTGATTTTAAAAATGGAGACTCTAGTTCATGGTCATCATGAGGATGGTGATGGTGATGCTGGTTGATAACACGCACCAATTTCGGTGGGGAACAAAACACTGTCGCTGGTATTGATGATGACGACAGCGATTGTGGTGCTGGTGGCGGTAGAGGCCGTGAAATTTTTGTCGATCCTCGTGTTGCTGCCGCTACAGCTGCTGCTGCTGATGCCCCCTCCGCTGTCACTAATGACGATGTAGAAGAACTATATCCAATCTGTTGACTAGAACGAATTGTTTGTGAAGTTAACCGACCAGTAGACAATGGTTTTTTCTTTTCATTGACAACAGCAACAGATGATGTATGCTCTTGCTCATGAATACAATGAAGCGATGAGATAGTGGATGACGACAATAGTCCAAGAGAATAACGACTACTTGGTCGAATATGTGAATGATAACGATTATCCGATGGCGGCTGTGGCATGATGACATTTTGACAACGTTCTGAGATTCGACCACGAGGATAATTTGGTTTTGTAGAAATATTTGTTGCTGTTGCACGATTAATATTAGCATTATTATTATTATTATTATTATTATTATTATTATTATTACTATCACTAAGAGTAGTAGATTGATTTGAAGAAATCTCTGTTCGACAAAGAGAGACATATGGAAGACATTCAGTAACGCTGCTACTACCACCGATAGCAGAACTCTTCACCACCTCTTTTGCGGCCAACGGGATCTGTGAGGCAGTATTTTCTTTTGACTTTCGACCACCAGTTTTGTGATTCATTGAATCCGTCTTCTTAATTTCTTTATTTGACGAATTAGACTTCTACATAATGGAAATAAAAAAGAGCATAGTTAAATTTTAACTACTACTACTACTGCAAACAATGTGTGTTTGTGTGTTGAGGGTGACATTATTATCAATTATGATGATTAAGCAGAAATTCGCCTTCCTTTAGACCGATAAGAAGACACTAAAAGATTTGGGCTTCGAGACAGACACCCTATGTCAAATTTCACACAAGCTCGAAGATTTACAGGTGAGAACCAACAAACTGGCAGGAGATGTAGGCAGCGAAGACAGGACTCCAGGTAAACATAGAGACAATGGAGATAGCCAGCCAACCGACAACAATAACAACTAGCACCGATCACCATCAATGGAAGAGATTTGTCAGATGTACCTTTCTTCGCTAATCTATGGAGCCTGGCCATCTGTTTCGTCCTAATTTGGGACTCTCCAGCAGTATGCACCCACCACAATGGTTCGAACCCAGAACCTTCTAGTTACAAGGCGAGCTAGCTTGTAGACCATTAAGCCACTGGGACCCGATCCAATGCCAAGGGCATGAATTCTGACTTCAGCCAATTCATGACATAGTGCGACCACTTCGCAGTGTTTTCTTCTTCGATGATTTACTGCCTCACCTTCAACATGCTGTACCCTATTGGTCACGACTTCCTACTAGAACCACAGGTAACTGCCTCAATTGGGCCAGTCGCTAATGAGCATCAGATGAATTTTCAAGTATCGGTTTTGTAGGGATTTCTGTTTGATTGGTCGAAGGATTCCATCATCAGCTGACATCAAGAACTGGCAGAAGGTAGAATTCATGGGCCATTGGATCGGGTCGCAGTGGCATAATGGTCTACGAGCTAGCTCACCTTGTAACCAGAAGGCCCTGGGTTCAAAACCTCGTGGTAGGTGCGTACAGATGAAGAATCCCAATCTAGGACGAAACAGTTGTCTACTACTCCAAGGTTTTCCAGTGTTTCTCTAACTGACGTCAGCTCATGATGAAATCCCCCAACCAATCAAACAAAAATCCCTACAAAACCAATACTTGAAAATATCTAAGAAGCATTATTTCAACCACAGGTGGAACGGATAAAAATGTCAAAGCCAGAATCGGAAAGCCAAGATACACTTTCATCAACCTGAAACCAGTTTGGAACTCTTCTACACTCAGCACAGCGAAAAAGATTCGGATTTTCAACACTAATTTTAAGTCAGTCACTTCTTCTATATGGGTCAGAAACTTGCACTGCGTGTCACGAAAACCATTTCCAACGGGCCACTGAAGACTTTTATCAACAGCTGCCTTCGCTAGCTCCATGATGAAAATCAGACGGCTGATCAGAAAGAATTAGCGACAAGAAACTCTGGAAATGAACCAACGAAAAATCGATCGCTCAACAAATATGCAGGAGAAAATGGAGATGACTCAGACACGCACACACACACACTGAGGAGACCAAGTCCTCGAGTGAGAAACGACGAGTTGGATGTCCGAGGATGATATGGAGAAGATTGTGCGAGGAGGAGAGATCTTATTGGAGGTCGTGGAGTCAGCTGAAAAGGACTGCAGAGAACAAGACAAAAGGTGGACATGCTCTTGCAACCCTATGTTCTACTAGGAACAAGTGAATACTAATATTATAATAATAGAGACTCCCTACGCTTGTAGTAGATGAATGCTCCATGACAAATCAAATCATGATGCTCAACAATTTATCCACTCTGAATGCACGTTAGATGGCTGGTGGTAATCGGGAGGAAGCCATGGATACCTAAGTCCCATGCTTGTTAACACATTCGGCCGCAAGGCGTATCTACAACTTTGAACAAAAAATCGCCTCCCCACTGAAATTCGAACCCATCCACATCACGTAATACTGAAGTCAAAGACGTCACGATTGACCCTCCAAGTAGGACTGTAAAGGATACATTGATTCGTTACCAATAGAGTAACCAATGATATGTATTTAGTCCATGTTAGGGATGCATACCACCTATTTAAATGCTATCTGTTTAGTTATGCTTCAAAATGGCCTGTTTGAATTCCAGTAAAGTATAGTCGGCAGTCCCTCCTGTTATAGATTTAACTTACAGACTATGATAAAAACTTTTGTCTCCTAAACAGTATTTACAGACCAATCTTTGCGAATAGTCATGTGGTATAGAACATAACTTACCATGTGTAAAGTACAAGCCCAGTTCGAGGTGAAATCCCACTATAGCTACATCCAGCGTCAGACAGTAGGGCTCACCAGCCAGATTAAGGCGATTTAAACACCAACCAGACAGCTGCCCTGCTTCCTAAGGCCAAGTTTTTCAGACGTGTGTACTTGGACTGACTCAGACCAGTGTTGAGTCAAATTAGTTCAGACTACTTAAATTCTAACCAGCTACTTGGGTGAACTACCAATTTCATGGAATAAAATTCTTTATTTACCAACTACACATTTCTCCCTCTTTTGCCTTCATCGAAATACAAGTCGACCGACTGGTTACCAGCAGCTTTACACCGACTGGCACCATGCGTGTCCACAGATTCAGGAGTCTTTCTGATCCCTGTGAAGAACAAGTTCACTTTTCTGTAGTTTGAAGTTTTAATTGAGATGGGGTTGCTTTTTACGGGGTAGAGAGTTGCTAGTTCCATGCCCAACTTTCCCACCTTCCTGGGCTTTAAACTAGGGATTGGCAGAATTTGGAATTCATGGGCTGACCATTTGACCTGGTCCCAGTGGCTTAATGGTCGCCTTATAACCAGAAGTTCCTGGGTTCAGACCTTGGCGAAAGGTGCACACACTGAAGAGTCCGAAACTAGGACGAAACAGCTGTCCAATGTAATGGTTCTCTAACTGATGTCAGCTGATGGTGAAATCTTGTGGCCAGTCAAATCCCTGCAAGCCAACATTTATACACATATATTTATCCACACAACGCTGTCTTCAGATTAAAATAAAGTGATTATGTTTACATATACATATATATATATATATATATCTGTTTAAACAGTATCAAATTTACCTCTACAACACCCATAACTGTTCGACGACGAGCAGTCCTCCTATGTCTTACTACCACACCACCACCACCGCCACCATTCGCTGGATTTGTTCTCCCTCTAAAACCACCACCACCACCACCATCTGGATTTTGTGGAGGTATATTTTCAGACTGCAGTGCACCAGGATTTTTCTGTGTGTCATGATATTCAATTTTCACAGTATTACTACTGTTACTACTACCAGCAGTAGTCGTTTGATTTAATTCTGTGAGACATGATCGAGTCGACTGAGTAGTATGTCGTCGAATCGATTTGGTTTGTTGTCGTGTAACTGGTCGTCTAGGCGGCTGTGCTGGTAATAATGCTTCTGGAAGATTTGTAGCTGCAGCGTATGCTGCTGCTGTTGCAGTAGTAGTAGTAGACAGTGACATCTCTGGTATTGATATCTCATTGGTAGTATTGTTGATAATTGAAAGCGTGTTAATCAGTGAAGTATCAGAGTTACTTGAAGGTGGAATGCCTGGATTGATTGTAAATGCATTATGAACTCCTCCTAATAGATGATGATTAGAAGTAAAATTCACTAGGTTTGGTAAACTTTGTATATTAGTAGCAGTATTATTATTATTATTGACTGGGAGAAGAAAACGACCATCAACTTCGTCGAAACCGCCGCCACCCGCACCACCGACAGCAATACACGGTAGTAAATGTCCTGCAGACGACGGTATATTACTATTATTATTATTATTATAACCATTAATAGTTTGCTGTAAATACGATGACAATGCAGCTGCACATGACTGAGTAGGATAAACAGGATTCATTGTAAAACGTGTTGGTAATAATCCAATTGTTTGTGTTGCCGGTGGATTGTTGAATAATGGTCTACATAAAGCGGTGTCAATATGTGGAATGCTATTCTGATTAGACATATTCATATCTCTCGACATAGTGCTGGTGGTGGTGGTGGTAGTAGGGTTACCAGATTGGAAATATGGTAATGAAAGAGCATCAAAGGCTGTAATCCTTTTTCTGGGGTCGAATTGAATCATCATCTGTGGGTGAATAGAAAACAAAAAACAGAGGGTTATATAAACCTTAAAGTACTATTGTCAAGAGAGAGAGAGAGAGAGAAAACACCAGCCTCATAAGCGCTACTGTATACACCCCTCCTACAGAAGACAGATACATCTTTATTAGTAGACATTAAAAAAAAATATACTGTCACAGACTATATGATCGATTTAGTAGTCGGTCGGTTTTCGACATAGAACTTTGCACATATGTGCGGCGGCAGTTCAAGTCGCCACACTCCACTCCTTCTAGCATACAAAGCAAGAGAAGAAAGTAGGAGAAATGCATAATAATAAAGACAGTAAACAGAGGTGTGAGACGAAGGAATAGTAATAACGAACAACAAAACGGTTTCATTGAAAATCATGAGTCACAAGGAGTGGATGCATCTGCGCTACTGAGAACGATTTTGAGCCATGTCACCAATAGTTTCCAACCATTGGTTTTTACCGTCCCGAGGACCCCAACCAGGAAGTCTACATCTTCCTACGTGGCTTAGACTAACTGTTGTGGATTCCATTGACTGGTGCCATGTTTTCGTTTGACCGCCGCTAGCTCTTTTCCAGTCTGACCCTATATCAGCTAACATTGTCCGTCGAAGAAGGCGATGACTGGGCATACGTAACATGTGTCCTAAGCATCTCAGTCGATGTAATTTCACAGTCTCGGCAATTGATTTCCCCTCCTTACCTAGCACTCGACGCTTAACCAACTCAATATTGCTCACCTTATTATACCACTTCACGCGCGAGATAGAACGCAGACACCTATGATCGAAGACAGCTAATCTTTTCATGTCTTCTGCTCTCAATGGCCAGGTCTCACAGCCATAAAGGAGGACGGAGCGGACTGTTGAGCAGTACACACGTCCTTTGATCGATAGTCGGATATCACGTCTACGCCAGAGACGGCGTAAACTGGCATATGCGAAACTAGCCCTCTGTATTCGTGCTGAGATTTCGTCGGAGATTAACCCGTTGGGGTTGATGGTACTTCCCAAGTAAGTGAAGTGGTCAACGTGCTCTACCACTTCACTTCCTATTTCTAATCTAGGAGTCGATGAAGTCCAATCCTGCAGCATCATCTTACATTTTATAGGGGCGAATCGCATGCCAAACATGCGGAGGTTGTTGCTCAGGGTGTTCAGTAGACTCTGCATTTTGTCAGAGTCCTCGCCTAGAAGGACTATATCGTCCGCGTATTCTAAGTCGACGAGATTATTCCCTGGTAGCAAGTCAATCCCTGAGTCGCTGAAGTGTGTTAGGGTTAAGTCCATTAATACGTCTATGATGAAATTGAATAGGAATGGGGATAATGGGCATCCTTGACGGACGCCACTAGTCGTCACCAATTTGATAGTCAGTCATCCTCACTTTGTTTGGCATTATTATTTCAGACAGTGACAGAAACAAGGGGACTATGTGAAAACTATATCAGTGATTTCTGTAAGATGATCAGCCTACAGGATTGGACTACATTGACACACTTCTAGCCTTGAAATAGGGAGTGAAGTGGTAGAGTACGTTGACCGCTTCACTTATTTGGGAAGTCAGCCACAGCGGGTTGATTACTAGTGAAATCTCAGCATGGATACAGAAGGCTCATTTGGCGTTTGTCAACTGACGCCATCTCTGACTTGATATCCAGCTGGCTGTCGACCAAAGGGCATGTCCGCTTCGTCCTCCTCTATGGCTGCGCGAGACCTGGCCATTGAGAGTGGAGGACATGAAAAGCCTGGTCAGCTGTCTTTGATCATAGGTGCCTTGAGTTCTATCTTCCATGTGAAGTTGTATAGTAGAGTAAGCAATACTGAGGTTAGACGTCGAGTGCTAGGTACCGAAGGGAAATCAATAGACGAGGCTGTGAAGATAAATCGACTGAGTGAGATGGTAAGAACATGTGTTGCGCATGTCTAGCCATCGACCGCCTTCCTCGCGAGCAATGTTAGCTGACATAGGGTCAGGTTGGAAAAGAGCCAGTGGTGGTCGAACCAAAACATGGCTTCATTAGTCAATGAAATCCACAACAGTTAGTTTAAGTCAGTCACGTAGGAAGGTGTATACTTCCTGGTTGGGGTTCTTGGGAAGATAAACACTAATGAAGGTTGGAGACAATTGGTGATATGGCTCAAAATCGTTCTCGATGATGGCGCAGATGCATCCGTTCTTTGTGACTTATAGTATCCAATAAAACTATATTGTTCTTCGTTCCTTTTTACTTTCTTCTCTTGCTTTGTGTGCTCCAAGGAGTGTGGCGACTTGAACTGCTGCACATCGATGCAAAGTAGTTCTATGTTGAAACCAGTCAGTCAGTGATTTCTGTTCTGACCTATGAACTGCCGGTATCTTGAGCTGTTATATCATGTGATCATCAAAAGAGTACAACTTGAGGACAATTATCCTTCACTCCATGATGATATCACAAACCTACATGCCATTTTTACCTTTTATAACCACATTGCCAGATCTAAAAAAGCTGTGAATAATATGAAAGCCGCTGGTATAATTAGCAATAATACGGATGAAATACCCTTAGAACTATTTGTTTTAGTCTGACAGATGATTTTCTTTTTGTCTTTTCAATCTGCAGTATGCAGAATTCAAAAAGTTCTTATATTATATTTATTAAAACACAAATTTGTTATACTCATAGTTTGTCCGAGGGTTGAGATACTGCCTGGACTCCCAGACTGAACCAGGAGGTTGCCTTAAGGGGTCAATTCCCGCTTATAGCCCTTGATTTAAAGTCTGGTGTGCAAGGATATGGAGTGGCATCAGGAGCTTTGTGTCCCAGAGTTTCCGCTGATCAAAAGAGGTTCAAACTCCATTTGATCCTTTCAGATTCCGGAGCCAGTGTACACGACTGGTTTGGAATCAGAGTTTTTCAGCTCCTATAGGTAGACCATCAGCATGTTCACCAGTCCGGTTCTAAGCTTCAGATGTTCACATTTGCCCTATCACTTTTGTGAGGAACACATCTACCGCATGAAGGTAGTGAATACGACTCAGTTGGCAGAGACCATGAGTGCGTGGCCACATGACAGCATTTGGAGAGGAAGATCAAAGTCTTCCTACACTCAGCCATACCAGGTCGTTTATGGAGTAAACCAACGAGGAGTGGTAGACAGCTGTTTCGTCTCAGTTTGGGACTCTTCAGCAGTACACACACCTCGCCAGGGATCGATCCCAGGATCTTTGGGTTCTAAGGTGCGATTCACAAGGCTGGTAAAGAGAAATTCTTTTTTTTAAAAGCACTGATGCATACTTTCTCAGTAGTTAAGAAACAAGTCACCATTTTAGTCTAAAATCTTAAAAACGTTATTCAGCTATAATAAAGTAGTACTAAGAATAAGTGCCGTCCCCATTGATCACATAATCTCGACACGGCTATGAACGATGATTTTCATTAGAAACGTTAAACAATGACTGTTTCTGTCTCACTGTGATAAACCTAAATAAACAAATTATGTTTTAAACCTATATCAAATCATTTTAATACAACTCATAAAAAGCAGATGTGGATGTGGACAACAGAATGACTACCAATGTGCTGCTAAGCGGTTTAATTACACGGCCATTCAGGACACTGTAAATACTCGAACTGAAGAAATCCTGTAAAAGCTTAGGGAGATTTGTCATCCGAAATGATGACAACCAGTGGCGTCTTCCCCAGATGCCCAACATCCTCACTAGTCCTGCAGTAGCATCTTACATTTGACAGGAGCAAGTCGCATGCCAAACACTCGAAGATTGTTGCTCCAGATGTTCAGAAGACTCTGCTCTATTTTGTCAGCGTCTTCACCTAGAAGGACTATACCATTCGCTATACAATTCTGTATATTTCTTCAATATATGTTTTTGAGTCGCCAGGGGGTTAAATAGCGAATATCCTTCACTGACACAAAGAAATCGATCAGTTAATAGGACGATAGCATAGAATAATCATGTTACATTAGTACGGATTTGTACATTGCTACCTACAAGCTACAGACCTTCATTAACAGTTGTCTTCGCTCAATACTACAAGATCAGATGGCCGGCCAGAAAAGATCAGCAACAGAGATCTCTGGCAATGAGCGAACCAACCAGGAACCGATTGTGAAACAAATATGCAGAAGGAAATGGAGACGGATTGGCCATACTCTGAGGAAACAATGCATCAAGTGACATCACTAGACAAGCCCTTGAGTGGAACCCTAAAGGGAAGCGGCGAGTTGGTCGTCCAAAGGTGACTTGGAGTAGGTCATGTGAAGAGGAGATGAAAACGTGTAGGCAGACATGGAGCCAGGTGAAGACTCTCGCAGACAACCGAACTCAATGGAGACTCACGGCTGAAGCCCTATGTTCCTCTAGGAATTAAAGGATACAATAATAATAATAATACCTACAAGGTGAAGCCTCATAAGTAGCCTGACTTAGGACAAATAAGTGCGCCAAATTGACTCAAAATGCAATCACATTACAACTTTGTTTGCTTTGACTGTGATAAGTTATCGTGAATAATAATAATAATAATCTTTTACTATCATAGTGTTTATATATGGCATCAATCAACAGGTCCTTGGTTGGCTGCCAAGTTGCAAAGGAAGATATAGGCTTTATTTTGAGCATACTTCATACAACTGACGTGGTATAGTAGGTAGTAGGTTTGTGAATGCAATCACATCTCGCCTTTACCGTATTACAACATCTTGGTTGCCTTTCGTCTGTCGTATGACTACTGCTACTACTTTGAGTCGTTCTCCCCACCACTGCTTGCAACATTGTATTGCCGTGATCTGGTACCTATCACGACAAACTTCCAGGATGATCTTGAGGGATATAAAGTAAGTAATGATAGGTGATACAAATGTTTTGTTGTCACAATTTAGTGCTGACCTGGTTTTAAAATTTTGCTAGGTTCAGGCCTAGGCTCAAGGATTAAATTACAACTTTTGTTAACATATCTGCAAATCCTACATTCATTTACTCTGTTATTCTGTAACTAAGTAGCTAAACACACGGTTGTGCGGAGATGCTAGGCGAAAAATAATTCACCTGCTTGGCAACATTCGCCAGTTATAATTAGTACGAAAAAGTTTAATTTACTAGTCAGATATTTTACACAAAGTAATACAAAAGCTATAAGACCAATAAAAAAACTACATACTTCAAGTAATTCAAGTGCATGTCTGTCTTTAGTTTTAATGCATGAATGTAGCTGAGAAGTTGGAGAATTCGACTCAAAATTGGACCGTTTTAAAAATGATCGCGTAGGCCATTCACACTGAGGAGGAACTCCGAGGACTCTAAATTTCATACAATACGGTTAGAAGAGGAGGAGAAACACAACTTACTTGAATATAAGCCTCAACATCTCTAGCTCTGTATCAGCACGAAAAAGAGCCTGAAGATTGAATAATTCAGCTATAATGCATCCTGCAGCCCATATATCACAAGGTGATAAATATTCAGACTGAATTAAAATCTCCGGTGATCGATACCATAATGTTACAACAACCGGTGTGAGTGAAGACTCCCAGCCCAGAACACGAGACAAGCCAAAATCAGTTATCTTAAGACGTAAAGTCTCTTTATCGACAAGGATATTGGCTGGCTTCAAATCACGGTGAATGATACGATGTGAGTGGAGGAAGTCTGTGCCACGAAGCAACTGACTAGATAAATGCTGAAAGAAAATAGAGAGGTGACATTAAACTTGATATTCATAAGCTTTGCCTTACGAATTATTAACTTAATTACAAACAGAAGATACAGATACTTTGAAGAATTTGGTAGAGAACGTAACTAAACAACATGGAAAAATTTAGTGCCATGTGATTTGTGTATTCGTTAAGCTTCAATTTTGCTACAGTTTTCAAAAGGATCTCAAAGTAGAACTATACTAAAGAATTATGTTCGAATCTGAATCCTTGAGCTACATGGCAACAGTAATTTTCCGAAATAATGAATATTTCCCACAAACACCTTTCCCAACAGTTTTAAAACACAGTATCTTTCTGAAAGATATTTCACCTCAAATCAACACTACACGGAAAGCTATTGGTAAGCCTCATACAAAGATTTTGTCAAGAAACTTTGGACTTATTCTTGAGTAACTAGCTATACAAGTGTTAATAGCTAATCTTTAGTAATCTTTAGAATCCTAGGTTTGTATTCAACCGCCTCACTACTTGAGATACATGGCAGCAGGATAACTGTCAAAAAAGATATATTGCTTCGGATTAAAAGTTTATGTTCACATGCCTATGAAATCGGAAAAAGCAAAGCTAAAGATAATATCACATCAATACACGACCATGAATCATTAAGTGATCTCACATGACATCTCACTACATAATCAATGTAGAATAAATTCGTCTGCCATAAATTTAGCTGCTCATCTAATCGTAGAATAGTGAAGCCACTAATTTACTTACTATTTATCCAGTATCATTAGCAATAAGAACACAAGCAAAATACTTTTCACTAAATCACGAATTGCCTTATGATCATTTCAATATGCTGTCGGAGAAAGAGGCTTACTCTGATTGACTCAGGAGGTAGACCAGTAGGGGGTACATAATTAGAAAGAAATCGGGCCAAATCACAATCGACATATTCAAAGACTATGTAGATTGATATTCCGGTTTGATCTTGTTTCAGTGATATATCAAGCAACCTGAAGAGAAAGTATTAACCAATATTCACACCTACTGTACAAGGTATGGACAGTTGTATGATTGTACTTTCTTCAGGACACTAATTTCTCGAAGAGTGCTTAAAGGTATACCCTCGTCATTTGATGGTATTAGTATCTCTTTTAACGCCACCGTCGCACCATTCATAGAAGTTCCTTTGAAGACGCGTCCATATGCACCCGACCCAAGCAGAGTGGACACTCGATAATTACTCCTGAATGGGAATGTATCATAGCTGCTCATCAGTGACTGGAAATTGTCACCACCTCAAATGCATAACTCATGCACTGGAGATAGCGCCTGTCTCTTAACGTTCAACTCCTTTCAAGGTCGAAAATTTTGGAAACAAATAATCTAAACAACCAGTAACTGATTTTAGAAGGCTTTTTGTCTGATGGAAATCTCCCTCGAGTTATAAAATCATAGTTTCCAAAACTTCAATTTTAATTACATTATCAGGCAATAAGTGCCTTCGATCATATCAATAAGGGAAGGGAAACGAAAAATATTTGTCTGATCTCAAGACTGAGGATGGTGGGCTAAATTGAGCAGTAGACTTGTTCGCTCATGCATATATTGGCTAAGAAGCCAGAACTAACCTCCTGTAATGCAAACATCTGCTACTTGTTTCCCAGTGATATCTAGTATTCTAATTTGAAAGCACATTGTCGAGCTGCAATCACAACATATTTCAAAAGAGGACTTCGTGGTCCACAAATTTATAAGCAGATAATTTCTGTATTATTATCAGTGGTATTCTGTGTGTATGTTACACGTCACGGATGACACCATACACCATCAGTTAATTGATCTGTAATTTAAGGACAAAAATCAGCGAGGCTCGATTTCCAAACAATTTATCATTAAGCTGTAGAACCGCATATGCATATATGGTTTTCAAGGAAGAAAACTGTATAAGAAAAGTTAAACAGCTTTTGAATACTTTTAGTCACAATTATAACTGCGACAAAATTTCTCGTACAGAAAACATGGTTCAAAATCAAGAAATTAAACAAGTTGTGCACTACATAGTATATTTCATTAGATGTATGGATCTTGGAAAAGGGTGATAATCGGTGGACCAATAAACTACTCGACAAGATGGTGGTGTAGAAGAGATTCAAATAAATCTCACCCGTTTCACTGTTAACCGTCAATTTGTTTATCTGTGCTCACTGGCCCAGAATGCGGATATGTGGGCTTTCGAGACTGAAATTATCACGCATACTCAAGACTATTGGATGTATAAGTCACTCCCGTCCATATTAGTCGATCTTGCTGGATTGCTGTGTTGATAACTGGTAGTTCACACACTGGCTGTAGCGTTTATCTAGAAGTAATCGGATACTTATCTTGATGCAGATCATTCGCAAATATTGCGTTTTATTTCCTTTTGGTTTCCATCGCCGTTAAAATTACTTATTCCACTCGTTTCATATGTTTTTACCATCAGCTCAGTTCATTTAGTCCATTATAATGGTTTACTGCATTGCTTTCACGCGTCGTTGCAGCGTTTTAGTCATTTTTCAGCTGTTAATGGAATAACACTATGTGAAATTAATAATAATTTACATTTCGTATAAATGAATGTTTACTAGAAATGAAAGTCATTTTTACATACATGATCAGTAATGTTATAGATTACAATCCTGAAGTATCATAAATTAACACTTCTCCAAAAGTTTAAATCGTTCGATTATTGTACAAGCAATCAGAGCACGTCGGTATAAATGATGAATTGTAAACTCTTTACTAATATTACCAATGAAGTTGAGCGACAACCCAAACTTCGTTCGGCTTCCTGCTCATACTTATGGTCAACTTGTGAACAGCGTATATTTGGGTAAGTGCTATGCCGCTACGTGATTAAAAGCTACTTCAGGAAGAGGAGAACGTCCTGGGAAACGCGGTAATAAGTGTTCAGTTGAACATACGAAGAAGTATTGTTACAGCAATAGGTAATTTTCAGTCCATATGTGGCTAGGAAACAGAATAATGGTGAATTAATCCGCATAAAATGACTATCGGAGCATGTAGGGGCTGTAAATTATCATCACGCAAGTCAGTAAGATTTCGGATGCAACCATCGACATGTGTTGATTTTTTCTTACATAACCAGATTTATTGACGCCGAGCAGATAGTTTTTGGGAATTATTTTTGGTATAAAGGTGATATTCCACAGTAGTCATCCAGGATGCGTCGCGGAGGAAGGTAATGGGTATTGGGAGGCAGTTGTAGGATATGGTACCAGTAATGTTTGCAGATCGTCCGTCACTCTGGAAATTATATGTGTGAACATGTTTCGGTGGCAGAAGCTGTTGTTTCCAGTTCTTTTTTGGTTGCCGCTATTGTTGATGGTTCACACAGTTACTTAATATGTCGAAATCTGGAAAAACAATGTCTTCTAGGTTGATTATTATAGCGTGCAACAAGCTACAGGCCAATCTGGTGAAGAAAGCAAGGTCAGAATTGATGTTAGTAATGTTTTCGAAGATATTAGAATTGGAGAATTAAGAGCCCTGGCTGAATTTGATATAGCTCTGAAGTTTTTCGAGAAGATGAGTATAAAGCAACTGTGCCTGATATCAAATTACAAACGTCTGGTATGCTGTGATAGGACCTAGACCAAACAAGGATGAAATACATTTAAAATACGAATATGTTGTTATTGGATGTATTCTTGGAAACAAAGAAAACTGGAAGGCAATCAGAAACCCCCAAAGGATAAGTGTTATCTATCGATTTTAATGCTTAACGTACTAGATGCAAATAAATGGATTAGAATTTTATGTATTAAAGCCAATATTAAAAGCCATTCAATAGGACACAAAACGAAAGTGGATTACATGCAATGATCTGATGAGAATATGAGTTACCCTATTTGCGGGTGAGGCTTTAATTGGTAAAGACCATCTATCTGATTGCAGTCCACAGTCGACAGTTTTTCGAAGTTACGACAGGCTGAGAAGCTGATTATTATTCCGGTTGAACACACTGGTCGAATACAAATTGCTTGTTTCAGTTGAAACCGTCACATTCGTATATTTTGGGTGTTTGCAATTTCTCTGGGTTTATAATAACGGGATGTAAATGATAATAATAATTTATATTTTCATACAAACATAAATTTACATGAAAATGCATGCCACTTTTACAGGCACGGTCAAGTATGATATAATGTCAAATAGTAGATTGTCTACAAGTTGATAATGTTTGAACAGCTAAATATTTGATATATATATGAATACACTCATTGTCTGACCCATGTGGTATCATTATTGAATAGAACAGTAGTCCTCCAGGTTGCGCGAGAAAATCGACTTCGTTTCGTTTTCAACCCGTAGTTGTAGGCATACGATAACCAACCAATATTGAGGTAAGTACAACGTTTACAAGGGATAGTAAGCTGATTTAGAAAAGTAAAGATGCTAAAGTGAATCATTAAAGTGTAATGAAATGGGTAAATGCAATGTATCATTAATATATGCATTCATAAAGGAAATACAATGGGAGACTATAATCCCTAGGCTGACAAAGTTGCTTTGCAATGTATAATGCTACCCATATAGGTCTTACTATCATGATGTCCACTTTTGGTTTTAATACAATTATCCACAAGCCGGTTGTTTATGTTTCATACCTTTTTGTGTATTTGGTGCACAACCGTAGCCTATAGAGAATAGGAATAGAATAAGTCGAATCGAATTCATAAAGAGCTATAAAATGTTAGGTCTAATGGACTATAATGAGCAAGTGAAGACGTTATTAGAAAATGAATGAGATGAGACATTGTGAAGTGGTATTCAAAGATTCGACAAAGGAAAGCATGTTAGTTTATAAGATGCCCCACAAATCTGTGCAGAGCCCATGTGGTCGCATCTCAGCAATAGGCTGACCGAGTGGCATGTGTTTAAAGGTAGAAGCATGATCTGTCTAGGCGATCATTATTATCTTTTTCAAGATAAAGATTCAAGCCCTCATAGAAATCTCGAGCCATCAAATTGCATATTGCTGTTCCTGCAGAATGGGGCGATTCACCTTAGTGTCCACCACCATATCTACTGATCAGCATGCGACACCCTTCCTCCTTTCATGATGTTAGGCTCTGATTGTTATGGCTGCAGCAAATATATTGCTTGGTTCCAGACACGTTCGTACCTCACATTCCATTTGCCTAGCTTTCTTAGTGAGTGCTTCCAATAGATCTCCACGTACAGATTTATGAACATATTATATATGTGTGCATGCGTCCTAATGAACAGATTAGTTTATAAGATGTTAAACCCTTAAAGAGTAAAAAGAATAGGTTTCGTGAATAGTGGAGCAAGATTCAGCAGAACACTGGTTAGAGTTCAATGTAGGTAGTATGAAGTGAAGGTAAGGTCGGTTGGCAGGACTTATTGTACTAAATTATGATGACATTGCAAAGTAACCTGTCTACACATATTATAAAAAGATATTAACACAGAACCAACAGAATTTTAACATTTGGTTAACAATACTGCAGTGTGGGTATACTGAAGAAGGGTAGTTAGTCTTACAGGGAGCCGTATAGTAAATTTAACTAAAGAGGATAAGAGTATAATAAATATTATAATTCGTATTATCAAAGAATACATTAAGCTCAATAATTGAGTGTTATAAGGGAAACAAGCGTGGTAAAGCAAGAGAACATTTGCTGCAGAAATATTTTAATCATTTTAAGTATTGTAATGACAATCAAATTTCAAGAATTGATCATGCATAATTACGAAGTATTATTATTGCGACTAGTGTGCTTTCCGTAGTTAAATGTTGAAATGTCATTGTTTCGCCACTCTACCAGCAGCTGTGATCTTTTAGACAGGCTAGGGTGGACATGTTAATATGTTTTTCTAGGCTCCTTTTGAAACTGTCAGGCTTTTCACAAGATATTTAAGACCACTTAAAATAAATTCCCCTTAAATCAGCATTCTACTTCTTCTTATTTCAATCAACAAAACATCTGTACACAGAGTTAGATAAATAAATTGCAAAGTAATATGTTCTGTGGCTGAGAACCATAGTCGGTATTATTGCTGTTACTCCCCTGGGTTCTTAGTGGAACATAGGGCTTCAACAACACATCTCCACTTTTTCGATTTTCTGATGTCCTCTTCATCTGAGTCCACGTATGCCCATAATCTCCCCTCTCCTCCTCGCACAGTCTCCCCCATATCACCCTCGCACCGACTACCCACTCGTCACTTCCCACTGGGATTCCACTCGAGAAATGGCCTGCACTGCGCAGGATGTCATTCGATGACCTCCTCAACGTATGCCTGATCAATCTATCTCCATTTTCTCCCA